CAATGTTTTCTACTTAAATTGAGATTCAAAGCTACTAAACCAAACCTCATTCAAATTCCACATTTGCTCCATAGTTGTAAATTTTTTGCTCAGTGACAATCATGGAATGAGCTCAGGGACTGGCCTGGTCCTGACCCCATGACCCAATTGATGTCCTGACAGCTGAAGAAAGGCACAGGCTCTGAATGGGCAACAAGGGAAAACTCAGAGAGATAAACAGATGCTCCTCTACTGCCCATCAAAACTCCCAAGCGACCACATAACACACAATAATGATACAGAAATATTAAGTCGGAGAGATGGAGAGGGTAAATATACTGTGTTTGATCAGAGGAGGAGCCATCAGTTCTGTGGCTCCCATTTCCTATGTAATTTTATAGAGTTGGGGATTACCTATCCCAGCATGCACTGACAGAAAGCAGAGGAGATTTAGTGGCAGGATGATAACAGCATTAACCTTTGCAGTCGTCACAGTAGGTGACAGGGAGAAAGGGCAAGTGTACTTGTGTTGCAGTGGGTCACAGTGGAATACTTTAGCATTTCACAAATGAGCTCAGTGTATGTGATATGTTAATGCGATGAAGGGATTTTTTTCCCTATGCTCGTTGATGTAATCTGTGTGATTTGAACACACAAGCTAAAGGAGACAATGAGCCATGAGATTATGCACATTGTTAGGTGTCACTGGAATAAGCTTTTTTTTGTTTTTTTTTGAAGGCCTACAGATGGAGCCTTTTCATCTTTATTACATTATAATTGATTTCCGAGTGCTCTACTTTGTCCAGTTTATATTCACACCCTCCCACTCAGGAAGAATGCAGCATCACTGCATAGCTTTCTAACCATTTATAGATCAAACACTATTACAGGATCACACCTGTTAACTTTCCACTACAGGTTCACAGGTTTCCTATAGAGTGCTGATCGCCTCCCTTGAGAGATGCAGCCATCTGTTGAAAAATTAGCATAAAACCACATAATAAGCATGAGAATGATGACATCTATTCATTACCCAAGTCTCTCAACGTGAAATTTGTAACCCTGTGTGTTTGTCCTCTCCTGCAGAGATTCCTCCAGTTCCTGGCATCTAGAAACACCTTGTTCAATCTCAGCAACTTCCTGGACAAAACCGGCTCCCATGGTGCGTGATGTTTTCTTCCTCTCCAAACCAAACCTCCATCATTTACAACACTAAATTATCGCTATTTACTGATCTTCCCACTGTTAATTCTTTTACCCATTTTCTTCCTATGTAACACTTAGATTTAAGACATTAAAGAAGACCTTTAAGACATGGTTTTATGCTGTTAAGACTACGGCAGATTGAGCTTGAAAGTTAAAACCAACCTGGCCACCCCTTGGTTTCAGCTCTCCTAATCCCCACTCCCCTCAGTTAAAGCAGTCTCCATGGAAATTACCACAGCCTCCTGTGGTGATAAACACTTGGTTCACAGCCTGTTGTCAAGGACATTTTGTCTGTTTGAGTAACTGCAGAGTTCAGAAAGCCATTTTTAGACATTTTAAACTCAGTATTAGATTAGAATCAGACTTGCATTAAACTCTTTGGTGGTCATCTCGGCTCATAGAGCTAGAACACTGTCACTGATTCTACAATGAAGAAAAGTCCTACTTAGTTTAACCTGGAATGGGGATTTTTTTTTTACAAATATTCCCATCTGGCTACAGCTAGGGGATTAGCTTAGCTTACCATAAGTGGAATAAATAGCAGACAGCTAGCCGGCTTTGTGAATCCAAACCGTGTCATTTCTACACACATAACAAATTCAACAAATCAGACATAACATGCTAAATGGTTGTTCTTGTTTGTTTTTTTTTTGTCAAACCTTTTATGGAGTCATGCTAGCTGTTGCAGTTGTTATGCTAAGCTAACCTCTCCTACTTACTTATTTAGCAAACAGACAAGAGAGGTAGATGAAGATTGATACCATTAAGTTACAGCCAGAGTTTTAACTTAGCTTCGTATTGCTTAGAAAAGAATGGTGATACTGAAATAATTACGGAAAAAGTTAGACTGACTTTATAAAACTGCAGCTTGTCCTTTTCCATTTCTTTTTTATTTATTTAATTATTTTTAGAGCAAATTGCAAAGTTGAGTGCACTTAATATTTACTATTTGGTTGATATTTCAATATTAGTTTGATTGTTCAGTATTTACAGTTCTCTGATGCATCAGTTATTTTATGTGTTATCAGGCCTGACCAAAACAAAAAAAATAGAAAAGAAAATGTCTGAGATCTCAATAAATTGGAAAAAAAAAAAAAAAAGGAAATCCTCCAAACGAACTGGGAAATCCTTTTTGTCCTACCACCCTCCCAGGAGACAGGTGGCCTTTGGGTTTGGAGCGTCCTTTGTAGACATCTCAGATAGCATCCAGTCCTTAGATGGCACAGCTCAGTCTTTAGGAGCAGATTCTACCAGCATAAAAAAAACAGCGAGGATATCTTTCAACAAAATACATCCACTCTCCTTGGCTCAACAGGTTACAGGACTGAACTTCCACAACATCTTTGTGCATCTGCAAAACAAATTTATGCTGAAAACACTGTTTCAAAGAGCAGTTTTACTCATTCAACCCAGGGAGAATGTACAGAGAAATGTACCTCAATCCATGCAGACAGATACCATGAAAGAAAGTTACAGGGAGTCTGCCCTGCAGCGCTGTGGTGCATTCATGATGCATGGGAAAAAACATTACTCAGCGAAAAATGTAACATTAAAGGAAAATAAAAATAAAATAATGACTTTGACAATAAAAATAACACTGGGTTACACAGGTTTAAGACTTAACTTCCTAACAGCCTTACTTTGAAATGTGTTTTTGTAAACTTTGCAACAGTCTTGCTTGTGTCCTGTGCTGAGTTGTGCATGTGTATTCATTCTTTATGTGTGTGTCCTCCTCAGGCTATGACATGTCCACGTTTATCAGACGCTACAGCCGCTATCTCAACGAGAAGGCCTTTGCCTACAGACAGATGTCTTTCGACTTTGGCCGAGTCAAGAAAGGGTACACTTTTTCATATTTCATGATGTCACTTGCTGCATGATTTCAGCATTATTATTATCTGTTAGTTTAGCTGGGACCAGAATGGCCCTTTCCTACTTGCCCTCCTTGTCCATCATAATACGACACATCCCACAGGGGCCATGTTCGTGACGGAGATGGACTCACTCACCTCCAGCCCGGCGTTAAGCCAACTGTATGGCCTTACCGGGGTGTAGTGAGAGCAGAGATGAATACAGAGAGGGTTATTACTCATGCACAGAGAGGGGACAGCTCTGTTCAGCTGGCAGACACAAGGTCCCTCTGCCTACATAAGCCGGCACTGAAAAATACAGACTGTAGGATAAAGACAGAATAGAGATGAGACACAGTGGTGGATGCTCTGTGTGTGACAAGTGCAGAGACTGGATTCATTGCAGCGGTGACTAGACCATACCTTCCCCACTTATTAAAGGAGGTTTCTCACCAAGCTCTAAATGTTTCAGAGAGCTGCTGCCTAATTCTCCCATTTTCCATTTCTTTCTGTTTGGCTCTGTCTCAGGGCTGACGGAGTGATGAGGACCATGTCAGTAGAGAAGCTGTTGAAAGCCATGCCCACCCTGCAGAGCCAGATCGACGCGCTGCTGGATTTTGATGTGAGTGACACTCGCTAATAGTCAACAATGTCACATTGCAAGGTTGTTGAATTTGCTGAGGGATACGGCACGGAGGAAAAAAAGCATCTATGAAGACATGTTGTGTGATGACATGACATGTCACAGCCTCTTTCACATCAGACTGACAGACCATTCAGAGGGCGCTGAAGTTAATGAAAACTGAAACAGAAGACAGCTGCAATCCAAATTAAAATTTTATTTAAATTACATTTGTATGAGTTGACACACAAATGTGTTACATTGTCTGTCTGAGTTCTGTGATTATTCATTGAAATACACTAATTAATGTCAGTACAGACAATCAACATACCAACACTGAATGCTGCACTACAATCTGGTATAAAACGGATGTAAGAATTGACTTCTTTATACAAAAAAAAATGCAAATAGACCCAAAGCATTCTGGATTTGCGTCTTCCTAGTCAACTAGAACATTTCAGATATCCACAATATTGTTTTTCTTATCCACAACTGTCATTTCAGATATCCACATTGCTAGTCTTGCTAGGACAAATGACGTAACCATACAATTCAGCCGCAGATATCCACAATATGAACTGTGGATATCTGCAGCTAGTTTACAACTAGTAGTAATTCCAGTTTCCGATATGTACAGTTTAATTCTAACTAGTCATAATTATAATTCAAGATATCTTTAATTCCCCCTCAGTTCAAGGTATCTGTGTTGTTCTTTTTAGGTTTCTTAAATTGAGTTTGCGCCTGTCACAGTGATGTTGTAAATATCCTAAACTGGAATTTTGCACAATCAAAATGTATTTTCAGACATCTGTGGTTATGTCAGAGGCTCCAGCAAGTTAGAGGCAGCTTGCTTTTCAAATATACTGCTGTTCTACAACCGTAACCACATATGACAAGCTGTTTTACTGTCATGTCAGAGCAGCCTGAGGTCAAAGTTCCTTTTTGGACCACAAATCCCAAATGAATGATGCTCTCATTCTCCTCCAACTCCTTACTGATAAGCTGTTCCTACTTCACAGCGTTTTTCTAATGATCTGATCTACCACAGCAGCTGCCAATACTTCTGCACAGCACAGTTCAGATGTTTTTCTGGGCCAGTATTCAATGGGAAGCCTCACACGAGCAGCTCTGTGCACAAAAATTCAGTCTAGTCATAATGACATTTGAGATGTCTGCAGCTATTATTTTGATGAGTCAGAACTGAATCTCTGTCGTTTTGACCTGTCAGAATGGCATTAAAGATATCTTGAATGAAACTCCTGACTGGTCACGATATCATTTTGACTTATCAGAATGATGTTGTTGAGATCTGTTATTTTAATAATCATAGTCAGCAGTGAAATGTTAAAATGCATCTTGTGACTGTGTGTCTGGCATCTTGGATTCTATTGAAAGACCGCTTGAAAGAAGAACTTGAAGTGAAGCTGTTGATGCTCTTGGTTATTTAAGCTGTTTATTCCTGGGATTTCACACTAAAAGCTGAAAAATAATCTTTTTCAAAACCAGACTAGACTTTGACTTGTCTGATGTATTTGTGTTCGTAGGTGCATGCACAGGAGCTGAACAATGGAGTGATAAATGCCTGCTTTCTTCTACTCTTCAAAGATCTGATCAAGCTGTACGCCTGCTACAATGACGGCATCATCAACTTGCTAGGTAAAGAATCACTCTTTATGTCAGGATCAGTCAGATGCTGAAGGTACCTTTCATGGATACAGCTTGTGTTACTACCTTTTTTGTCAATAAATAACATCAATACAAGCCAAAACCATCATTGTGTTAGTGCCTAAATACTTGCATATCTTGTCTCTGATACTCAGCCTAAAGTCTTTTGTTCCTTCTGTATTGATTAAAAGAAACTCTTCAAATTGGGTATTAAATGCTGATTTTTGTTTTTTCCAGAAGACGTGTTCATGATAATGTAGGGATTTGTAGTGGTGTGGCTCACTGGTTTTGGCTACACAGAAAAGTTGAATTATGTATTTGGTGTTCGCTTAAGACTTATTATTTAACTTTGTGGCGATAAAGCATATTTCAACTTCTTTTGTCCAGAAAAATTTTTCCAGATGAAGAGAAGCCAGTGTAAAGACGGGCTCGAGATCTACAAGAGATTCCTGACACGAATGACTCGGGTTTCTGAATTCTTCAAAATTGCTGAGGTAACCCGCTGAGCTCTAAGCGTCATGATTAGCTGCTGACTTATGAGCTGTTGTCTTACATGTCACTGTCTTCTTTTACAGCAAGTGGGAATAGACAAAAATGACATACCTGAGCTCACTCAGGTAAGACTGACGAAAACTTTTCTTTGCCCTTATTTATTTTCAATAACGTTTATTGTTGGATATGTGATATTCTTTTAGGCTATACACTAACAGAGCATGTCAGTGTTGAGTTCTTTTTAACACTCTTGCATGAGTGTCTAAAGCTACCACCTATTTTTTCTCCCGCTGTGTGGTTGCCCCCCTTTGATAACAACCAGACGTTCACAGGCAGGTCCTCCACACGACCAATGAGCTGTGGTTCTTTGGTGATTGATGGCCCCTGTGCCCTCCTTCTCTTTTCACTTCCAGAGATGCAGATTGATCATTCAGGCTGAGAGTGTGAGTAGTGAGTAGTGCACAGAGCTAGCTTTGGGAAGCAAACAGCTTAGGAAAGGTCAACATATGAACTCTCTTTTGAGTGCACTGAATTGAAGCACACTGCACAGTGAGTGCACACCCAGCAGACAGACACCAGGCGCTCTGACGAAGTGGGATGATGTGATTGGAAGAGCCGACTGGATGAAAGCTGTGACATGCCATGCAATGCTGCTGACCAGGCGGCTGATTCTCCGCTGCTGAACCTCCTGAGCTAAACATAGTTTTAGTTCAACAATTATATAAAGGCAGAGCAGATTGTTATCCTCAGATTGTGCTGCAGAGTTTCCATTGCAGTTGTAGAGTTACAAGATTATTTGTTGCCTATTCTGATTCATAATTTGTGGGTCACTGACCAATTTAAGTGATTCCCATGATAAGAAACCTGCTTTTTGCAGTTGCTTCCAGAATCAGTTGCAGGCTTTTTAACTCTGCAGCTTTGGAAACTCTATATAGCTGAGGTTACCCTGTCAGACTTTGCAGTATGGATGACTTGCATGACAAGCATGCAGTAACGCTGTCGGATTGAGCTTGTGAGGCTGCTGCAGAACAAGTGGCGAAAACAAGGCGAATTAAAAATACTGTCATGTTGGTGCACAGTATTTAAAGATGGAGGTTGGACTTTCAGAACTTGTCACGTTGAGAAATTCGTGGAGAGTTAACTACCAGTGTTATGTTAGTATGGTTACAGTATGGTACCTTGCTTCCTTGCTGAGGGTTGGCTGAGAGCCCGCCTGGTTTACCAGATTTAAAAACAGTTGTCTTCAATATAATATAATTGGCAACATATATTTTCTACTTGAGTCTGAAGAAGGGCTCTTTTTCCCCCAGACTTGGGAATCCGCCAAGCTTGTACCTTGTCCAAAATACAAATGAGAATTTTTTCAGCTGCCAATTGTGAACCCATTAGTATTCTTCCAGTGTTGAGTAAGCTAATGGAAAAGTTACTCTTGAAATGATATTACACTATTTTTCACTTAATAAATTAAACTGTGAGATGAAAGAGAAATGGTAATTTTATACTGACAAGAAATTGATGGTTGGAACCCTATTAATTGACTTTATTGCAGCGTTTTATATTGTAGACTATAGATTAATATTAAAGAACTTAGTTCAACATCAATCAACCTGATGGATAAGTATTAATGCAGTAGGAAACAGTCTGTGTTTTTTAATGAGAGTCCCTCCCTAAATGCTTGTCGTGCAAAGCTCCCCAGGAGAGTTGCGTTGACCTGCTACTGTTTTCAATATTCACCAATGACAAGTGCAGTGCTGCTCTGTTGGTTGATTTTGTCAGCAACTAATGTTAGTGAATTAAGGAGCACTCTTCAGTCTTACTATGATTTGACTGGATTTGTGAGAACAGATTTGTTTTGAATGTAGCAAAAGCCAAAAGTATTATGTCCAGGAGCAGAAACGCCCCTCATGATTACGATCAGCTCCAATATTGAACATGTTCAGGACTCAAATTTGCCTGGCGTCATATTCAATGGTCCACTAATGTGGGAGGAACGTGTTGAAAATGTGTAGAGCAAAATCATGCATTTCAAGATGTTCTTCTTTGCTAACCAAAGCCTCTGGAGTGCAGCGGACAAACCTCGATCTAAACTCCAGACAGCTCAAAATAAAGCTGCGAGGCTCACACTGGCCTGTCTGTGAGGTGTGAGGCAGAATCTCAGTCTGTCGCGGCTCCAAGCAGAAGATAGCTTGGCACGCAGTCAAATGAGTAAATAGCAAACACTCTGACACTAGCAGGCAGGCTACAAGGGGTTATCCAGTGAAACAAATAGAACAGATGTAGTGCACGAATCTGTAATGTGTAGAGCCATTACAATGTGGAATGTTAAAGCCTTCTGTAAGTTAAATTATTAAAGGCTACTTAAAAAACATACAAAAATGTGGTGAACAATAACCCCAACGTTAATTAACCAACCTGAACAATTGTGATGGAATGAAATCTGATGTGCTTTGTTGTTTTAGTTTTTTATTTGAATGTATCTTGCTGTGAACACACTCTCATTGAGTCTTTTTACATGTGTTAGACATCTTGTTTTATATGGTATGTGTTGTTCAGTGAGGTTCTCAGAGAGAGTCGCTGGTATTTAATGGCACCTAATGGAGACCCTGCTAGAGAATACAGGAAGTACATGCATGTACTGGGCTACTTCTTAGCCAGACCAGTACTTATGGTAAGCTAAGTTAAACTTATTGATTCCTAGTTAAAGTTTCATTAAAGCATGAGAGTGGTATCTTTCTTCTCAAGTGTTGCTTTAAGGAATTATTTCAAAGTCTTTCTCCTACAGTCAGTGGTTGTTCATCTTCCTTCAGGTTGTCGTGTGTTCTCTTACTTCATATTAGTCCCTCTGTTAGGGACATTGTGGGGAACAAGCAAACATGGCGTTTACACTTGTTGCATACGGTTTTGTGTTTTAAATTTAAGTGGGAAATGTTGAGGATGTTTCCGACGTGAATGCTGTACAGACAGCGGTGATAATGCACTTTCTGACAGCCGTCTCCTTAACCTCAAGCAGGAACTAACTCAGCTACTCCTGCCAAGTTTTCAGGAAAAAAATGTCGAAAAAGTCAACAAATGTCTTGGTGTCAGCCTGATAACCATAGCCATAAACAACAAATCAATATAAGGTCAATGACCCTGCTTCAACATGCCGTGATTTTTCTCACCAGCCACTGTGCAGCAGTGTTTATACAAGAGCTACTGTGTCATAAATTAGCAGGAGAGCATCATTAAACTTCACAGTTCAACCAACAGGCTTTTGAAGCTCCTGGATTAAAATATGAGACACTGCATGGGTGATAAAAATTGATTAATCTGTGCAGGAGAGGAAACCCTATCAGTCTCCCAGACAAATGAAACTATAACACATTCATCTTAGTCCCAACTACCAATTTCTGCTCTCATCTCCTCCCGCAGGAATTATATCCGCACAAACAAGACAGAATAATTTCACCACTGACCGACTTCGTAGCTGTGCTGTTATGTCATCAGTGATGCACACTTGTATGTTGTTGTTTTTTTTTTTAGAGTGACGCGTAGAACATAATCTGCAAATGATGGCAGTGTCAGTCATATCAGAAAATCTTCTCAGAAATAATCCTGGAGGCCTCTTGTTGGCACATCCACAGGGAGATGGTTCAGCAGCTTTCATATTGGCCTCCTTGGATGAAAAATATCACTGTATGTGGCCAAACATTGCAGTAATGGAGCTGTTTTATCTGTCCTTTGTACTCGGTGATGAGGACAGACTTTAAAGTCACAGATTGATTAATCTCTCTCTAAGCCAAGACAACACACCACCAGCCTTGGTGCTTTGTTAGTCTTAAGTTTAAAGGATAATAGAATTGGTAGCTTTAAATGGATAGACCCAGCAAACTGAGCAGGGAATTAGGGAAAGTGAATTATTGTCTTATTTTATCTGCTGAATTAGCGCTGACCTCTCTTAAGAAGCTGCTGGATATTGTGCTATCCTTTTCACTGCATGTTGGGAAGTGATGATGTCCCATCCAGCCTGGTTGAGCATGCAGCTTTGCATCGTGGCTCACTGGAACTATGTTTTTCTACTAGCATGACATTAAACCTCTGTTCTTTTCCGTTGCTGCTGTATCCTGCTCTGTTCCCTCAGTGGTTCTCTATTCATTGTGTGACTAATGGAAATGTATAGGTGATTACAGAGATTATACAATCTTGCAATTTTGCAAAGGTAATTGATAAAATCATTGGATGAAATATCTCAGACTATAAACAGTGTGATTTCAGTCCCAAAACAAATATTTCTGTTTTTCCTGGCATTTTGGGATAACATTCATTTTCCAGTTTAAAATTGTGTGTGTGTGTCTAGCTCAGGACAAATTATCATCCATACTGTGTTCAAATCCACAAATCAGACTTAAATAAAAGTCTAGTGCAGATTGCAGGCTCAAGTGCAAATATAGAATGAGTTATCAAAGGAAAGGTAAGCAACGCACCATAAAAACGGATCATTTCAATTGTAGTTAAGGCATTGTGACAGAGCAAAGCGAACTGAGCGGTGCATTCAGAGATAAGGAAAACTGAGAATAGAGTGAGGTCTTCCAAGAGTCAGTCAATATTGATTAGATTATTCAGGAGCAATAAAACTGCACAAGGAAAACAGTTATCAGAGCATCAGGAAGGAAAACATGACCTCATGGCAATGATCAGGATATTAGACAGACAAAAAGTGACTTGCATTATCTTTTATTTGTAGCAACATCGAATACATGTGGTCTGTATACAAACTCTTCAGAAATAAGTGGCAGCTGCTCTCATTCTACCTTTTTTGTTGTAATGCCTAACATGTAGGATCCAAATGCAGTATACTGAAACAACCCGGTCCTAGTTTTTCTATTTGACTCGGTGCCCCACTCTGTTCTATTGTCTCTTTCTCTCTGCTGCATGGTTTTCAGCAAAGGTTGATGGCAGTAATAGCCCTTTGGTTTGTATTTTTCTGCAGGCCCCTGAAAGTCTTCTGGAGTCCCTGGAGACCCACCTCAACACTTTGGAGGGGAAGAAGCCGTAAGTAGTTGTATATACCACAGTCTGTATTGTCTTGTAATAGTTTACCAGCAGTATTTCAGCAGCGGTTTAGCTTTTAGTTGTCTGATCAGTCTTCTCTAGTGTTATTCTGTCATAATTCTCTAACACCTAATTTCCTCTTATCTTTACACAACTCAGAGAGGATAAGTAAGTATTCTCTGTCAATATGAACAGGGCTTGTAAATATACATATTTTTCAACCGTTTTTTTTTATTGATGTATGCCAAAGTGTTTGTTCTATTTTGGTTCCCATTTTCAGTGATTCTATAGAAAAGACATCTGAACAAACAACTTGTATTTTGTGTGGTACAGTTTTGCTTAAGATGCAGTTCTATAGAATCATTTTCACATTTTGTGTCCCAAAATAATTTCGATTCATTGACAGGTCTTTTTTTATTTTAGTTCATGTCCTTACTAACACATAATCTTGCGTTAACTGTCCAGTCTGACTTTTACAAAGCTTTCGTCGCATGCCATTTAAAAACATCCAGCTCTTCCGTTCTGTCTATAATGTTGAAAAGAATAGCTTTGTTGAGGTGGAGCTGGGGCCAAGATGCTGTTACTCAGCAGTGCAGCACGGATCCATTAATTGCAGATGTTCTCTTAATGGAATTGGTTTGAAATGCTGCCTGCCTGAAAACACCAAAGTGATACTTAAGCTGTCACGTTGCCTCCCATCCCAATAACAGCCTTTATGTTTCCTCCCCTACGTCACTAAACTCTTTAACCTGTGTGCTATCATTGTTTTGGCAGGTCGCCCACTAAGGTAAGCCATGTTTCCTGATAATCATCATGTAGTTGTAATAATAGCAGTCTTTACTTATATATCGCACTATTCAGAGTCAAAATACAGTTATCCTGAGAGCTTTGAACAAGTTTCTACTCCAGGCATGATGTGTTAAAAAGCTGTTGAATCACATCAGCTTCCATTACTGTGTTGGTCACCATCTAATGGGCGTCTTTCTCTGCGACAGGATGCGACGGCCAACAACAGCTCGCCGGCTGCTGCTGCTGCACCGCCCAAGCCAGCGCCTCCTGCTCATGCCGGCGGACCCCCTGCTCGCCCCGGGCCGCCTGCCAAACCCCCTCCGCCCTCTGTCACCCCCACTGCACCAGCCCCCGCCGCCACCACCACCAGCAAGTAAGAGTCACTTAGCAGTGATACAACGGGTTTGAACTCAGCTGTAGAAATCTCTGTTCACACACCCCTCGCTCTCTTTCTTTCTCTGTGTTCAGTGCTCTTGATGATGGGTTCCTGTTGGATCTCGACCCCATGTCCTCCTCATCAGCAGGGGGCGCTGCAGCGAGTGCCTCCACGACCGGATGGGGAGGTAAGATGTTTGTCCATCACTGTTCTTCATGCTTCAGCTCTGTTCGCCTGCCAAGGTTTCCATTCTCACACTGCACATGCACAGTTTACAGTGGATGAAGTGCTGCTCAGAATTATTCATAACTCCTGAAACAATGGGTTTTCTGAGTTCAGACAAAGGTAGATAAAAGCAGGTTTCGCAATTCTACTCATTGCTGTTGATTCGATCGGTTAAATTGACTACTACTGGCAGATTTGATAAGCTTTAGCTTTAACAGGCTCACACAGGCTTGTTTTAAAACAAGACTCCGACAAAGGGATCTTAAAAATAGACTTAATTGCCACATACATATCATATTAAACTCTCTTAGAGATATATCCGCTCAAGCTGCAGTTCCTTAATTTATTCATGGATGCTCTTCTGACGATCTTTAGTGTTTAGCTTTAAAAAGATGCTTTTCAAAACACTCCATTAGACAAATGAATCAACCCACTTAGCATACCATTGACAAAGATGCTGCTCTAAAGCTCTGTTTTTATTTATTAGCATAGTTAGCGTAGTGTCTGAGACAAAACCCAGACATTCCAGTTTTCACTTTGACTCTGCGGCTTCACTTTTCAGTCACAAAGTCTGCATCGTCACCAGCTGATCCTCTGTGTAGAAAACACAGGAAGATAAATGAACAGAATTGTTCTTGTATCACCCACAAGAACCCCAATTTTATGAATTAAAATGTTTGACTGCTAGCTAAAAAGACCTGCTTCCACACATGGGGAAACACTACACAGTAGATGTTCTAGTTATAAGCAGGGATTATATTTTTTGACATAACTTGTAATTCTTACCAGACAATAATATGCTTTTTGACCTCGGAATTAACATTTGGTTACAACGGCAGGGAGCGAATTAGTTACCTGCACAACTTTAGCCATGTTAAACCAGACAGTTTGTCACCCAGCAAAGACTTTAAACATTAAATATCTCCTTTCTCATGTTCACCTACTTAGCATGCTTTGAAACCCAAACTTTGACAGGCCCGCTTTGCCAAATGATGTCTGCTCAGCTGTGACGGAACAATAAGTGATAGAGGGAGGGGTTCAGTGAGCGGTCAATTTGCTCTGATGCCAAAAAGAGATATTGAATGGGCTTCACTTAATGTACTTACAGAAAAAAATATTGTAAATGGCAGGGTATATTTTACAGACTTACATTCCATCAAATTTAAATGGACCAGTTCGATGTTCTTCGCATTTCATCCCATTAACTACAAACTCCTTTACTTCGCATTATGTGGACCATTTTCCAGAGCATACAGTGAGTTAAGAACACTGCAGAGAGATTTTAATACCAAAGTAAAGTGTAAAAAAACAAGTGCTGCATAAAAGAAGAAAAAAATCAATGTAAAAACCTGCAGTATGCTTTGGGAAATATTGGGCAGCAGTATAGAGTATATTAAATTTGTCATAAATGAGCTGCAACAACTCAACAGTAGTCAGCTCCCCACAGTAGAATAAGAAGTGGGACCCTCCTCCTCAATGTAGCACAATGTGGAACCTTGCAGTATGTTTTCATTATAAAGCTAATCAGGTGTGTCTTCCTACACCTCCTCTGATGCCTTGAACATGGTCACGATCCCACTGTAGCCTTATTTAAATCTCACTTATATGAAGGATGCTGTCATACTATTTGCTTTCCTGTTGGTCCATGTCTGGTTTTCTTGCTTGTTCTATATAATGTTGGTCACTTTTACATTAAGGATTTCTTAATTTCTTAGAAGCATCTCCATACTCTGAAGTGAAAGCTCTTCCCTTTACTAAGTCACTCATTCCTTCTGGCCTTTCTGTTTTTGTTGTGTTTGTCGTGCAGACCTGTTGGCTGAGGGTGAGTATTTTGTTGACAGCACTCTGCTCCTGACTAAATATGAGAAATCCCCACAGACATCGGATTTTGCAGTGTCCAACCTGGCTTTCTCCCTGAACTTCTCTAGTGTGTCAAACTTTGGTTGCCTAGAAAACAAATTTATTTTCACCTTTAGCACCCAAATTCTTCCTCTTAACCTCTCACCACCCACCAAGTCTGAACTTTTTCACTTCTCAGTCACTTTAACACTGCCAACTTGCTCCCATTTTCTTTTTCTCTCCTTCTATTTCTCTCTGCTGGGGGTTGTGACTGGGTCGTGGCATTTGGATTACGGGGTTTATCTGCATAGCTACTCCAGCCGCTACTGATGGAGCCTCTGAAGCTCTGCTGGCAGAGGAAGAGTCTGCTGATGCTGATGCTGCAGCCGCTGCCGCCCCTGCGGCTGCTGCTCCTGCAGCTGCTGCCGCTACCACTGCCGCCGTGGCTGCATCAGCGCCCACCTCACTGCCCGTCGCTGCTCCCGCCACCACCTCAGCCACAGACATCGACCTTTTCGGAGGTCAGTGTTGGCGGAGGGTAGGATGTAGACCAGGATGCACAGCATGGCGGCCTGCCTGCTTGTCTGCAACAAGCCCCATCGCCATTTAGTCATTTACTGATAGGTTTCCTTTGGAATAAAGCTTGTGTATAGAGGATTGGATTTGACCATTGCTCCGTAAAATTTGAATCGCAGCCGCTATTATATTAATGAGGAGTGTTACATTATAACCCCACAAAAAGTCTACAGGCGTATATACCAGATATCAGATTACACATTTATGTGACATCCAAAAAGAAGAGTCTGATCTCGAGGTTATTCCACTGCTACTGGTTTTTGTTGCAACATGAAAACTTGTTAAAGACCTGAAAAACCTACTACAAACAATACAAATGTACATTATGACATGTCAGTAATTAGATGGCACCCTAACCCCAGTTTGTGCTTCAAACACATTACCATTACATTGAATCACAGCTAAACATCCAATTTTCAAAAAATATTTGAAAAGCCAGACAGTTGTTTACCAGCACTTACGACTGTTTTTAAGGTATTTCCTTCATCCTCAGTGACTCTTATTATTATATTGGAAAGAAAAAACATTTTTAATTTTACTCTTAAATGTATGTATATGTAATAATTATGAAATGTTTTGTGCCATTATTGGAAAACAAAGGCTAAATATTCTGCCTAATTTGTGTGACATATCTTCATTCTTTGGTTAGAAAAGTCCTGAAGGATTCTGGAAATAACAGCAGTAAGAGCTGTTGTGGCATATCTTTTGGAAAGTCTGATGCTTGATGCTGTGACTCAAAATGTTTTTACATCCTGCTTTGTTACTATTGCGTGCACTATTGTGCTGACATAATATCCAGCCTTCACACACCCTGTGTTTCACTGAGCACAGTGCAAAGCATTTATTATTTGTGGCACATCCCAAAAATATGAGTCAGTGCAAAGCAGTACTTTCTTTTCACTGGAGTTATTTAAGGCAGCACACTTGTAATAAAACACCAATGTGATTAAGCATTCATGTGTTTTAAACATGTTCCAGTGCTTTATAATGACGTCACAATGTGTGCACCCCAATAACCCCACAGGAATGTGATTAGTCTGCAACTGTGTGGCATATTTTTGGGATTTGTTTTCTTCTTTTTGTTCGTCACCCTTAATGATTTTCTTCCTAATGACTTACTAACAGTTTCATAAATATGTCAAGATTATTAATCGCTGGATTTTATTTTATGGTATTTTGACTTTTTAATATTAACATCAACCCTAAAATTCTGGCCACTAAAAGGGCCATCAAGTTTCTTTGTTCATCCTTGGACTTGACATTTTCCCTTCTTGTCACAGAGTACAAGTAACTTGTGACAACTTGCCTCATTTCACCAGCCTGCACAGGTGGTGCACTCACTGAATGCAGCATTATGCAGCCCCCCGAAAACTCATCACCTGTCTGATGATACAATTAGGTCACTGACTGCAGGAAGCGGGCTGCATATTTCTTGTATTCTCTGCTTTTTCCTGATTCTGACCTCTCATTTTTGTTTCCTGTCCATTTCATCTGTTTACTCATCTTCTGTTCTTTACATCCGTGTGTCTGTCGGTGTGTTGGCCCGGGTGTTACGTTTTGCGTTTGCGTTCCCGCTGTTTTCGTCTGCAATACCCTAGATGCGTTTGCACCTTCCCCAGGAGATGGTCCTGCTGCCGTAGCCGCGGGCCCTGCTGCTGATGCATTTGGTGGATCTGGTGGGTGACAAAACAGCTTTTTGTGTAAATGTGTGCGCGTGAACGGATGAACGTGTGTGTGATTGCGAAAGCTGTTGGTTTTAGTTTATTAACGCTGCTTCTGCTTCCAGGAGACAGTAGAACAAACACATGCCCTCAGGGCCTACTGTCTCACCCCAAATCCTGCTCTAATGCCCCAGTCATGGACCCTCTCCTCCTTCATCTCGACTACTCTGCTTCTCCTAATATTCACCTCGTGAATACAACAGTAAAAAGCACAGTGCAGCTAATACCTGTATTTCTGTATTCCAGAAATGAATACTATTTGTTTTGATACCACTAACCCTGATAATACCAGATGGTGATGATTGCACTAATCATCTCTGAGCTGCTTTTCTTTTCCTTTAGTTTTTTTAATACCTCCATTCAGTTGCTCTCTTTGACCTACAGTGGTTTACGTAGCAGAACAATGATTGTAGAGACCTACGTATTGTCCAGGCAATAAGCTTTTTCAGATGAATGAAAAGTATTCCTTTTACTGTAAATTTTGCACCTAACCCTGAAGCATGGTGTACTAACCACAGCATTAAGTGCAAATGTAATGTTTTTTAAAAAATGCTTTGACATTAACTTTATTCTGCGCCCACACTTGAGAACTTTTTACCTTTTCAGTTGGAGGACACAGGCTTTTAAATTATCCATGTGTTCCCTGCCTTTTATCTACAGTGTTTTACTTTATCTTCAGCTGGACACAAAATGAAACTTTTAACAGCACACAAATAATACCGTTGTTATATGTTTATATAATAATATTAATACAGTTTTTGGATAGCTGCTGTTAGCGTGCTAACAAGGCAAACAAAGGGAGTGAACTTGGTAAAATGACATGCCAAACTTTAGCATGTTAGCATTTAGCTTGAAGCACTGCCATGCTAACATACAGCCTTAGTCTTGTTCTTCACTTAAGATGTAAGAATAACATGCAAAAATGTAGCTAAGGTTAAAACGCTTTAAGAGAGCGAATGTTGAAATAACATTTCAATGACAGTCAAACTTTAAGATAAAAAAAAAGACAGAATATAAAAATGGCTATTAAATGGACATTTGTAGTAATTACCTGAATACATGACTCATTCGCTATTGCTAATTAGAAATTAGTTGAAGCTATTGACTAATTTACCTGGTGTTGAGTAATATTTCTTAAATATTCCCACCATTAAACTAACTGCTGTAAACTGAACGGCCAATTAATTGTTGTATTTTAATTGTTGCCTGGGTTAGTAATATCTGACTGAATTTAGCTATTTTTATTGGCATGAAGGTGCAGTAATCTTCTGCGGTGCTTCATCCCTTCTCTCACAGAGATAAACCAGTCAGTCTGAACACATTATATTAGCAGCTGAGCACAGTACAAGCCATTTTGTTTATTCACGTTACTGAGGTCTTTGCTCTTCATTACATGTCATAGTTTTATTCAAAGCCTGTGGCCTTCATAGAGTCAATAATGTTTCAGGGACACGTGGATAATTTGGGTGCTGTCATAAGACAAATTGGGGCAGTTGTTCTACACTCCTAACTACAGTGGGTTATTAGTTCCTGAAGAACTGTTCTCCGTTGTCTGTTGTAGCTTGTGGATGCAGCACTGAAGTTAATGAGTGACTGTGTGCTTGATTTCCTTTCTTTTAATCTAACCCTGACTTGGAGCTTCGGAGGCATTTTGCCTCACAAAAAAAAAAAAAAAAGCTTTTTACAGTGTTTGTTCTTTTAACAAACCCTCAATCCCCCCTTCCCCATCCACCCACTACTCCCCCTTCCCTTCTTTTCTCATCATAACCCCCCCCTAACCTTTCAACGCCACCCTCCTGCTGCTCTTCCTGAAGACCCCTTCGCTACGACGGAGGGCAGTGCGGAGATTGCTCCAGAGCTGGACCTGTTTGCTATGAGGCCCACCGACACGGGGGCCGCCGCCGCCGCCACTGCTGCCGTCACCCCTCCCCCCTCTAGTGAGGCGCCGACCATCATCGCCCCCATCGCTGCCCCCGCTGCCCCCACCCCTTCTTCCACCACCACCACCACCACCACTACTACCACAACCACCACCGACACCACCACAGAGTCTGCAGCTGCCCCGACTCTAGATATCTTTGGTGGTAAAGTCCTCTCGCTCTCATTTTGCCTTTTCACTGCATTGCCCTGCATTATGACAATGATGATGATGAAGGTTTTGATGACGATGATGACTGTGTTGCTCTTGCTACTGATGCCTATGGTAGTGACAATGATAACTTGCCCTACCCCTACATTTCAGATTTGTTTTTTCTATTTTCCATGATACCTTTCCTACAGTTACAGATCATGTAGAGTTAATCAAGCATTTTGACCTCCTCTGTGAACCTCGAATGATTTGACTATAAAAACATCCCAATAAAGGCCAGCACTGCTTTACTAATTCATCCACTAATTATTTCTTGTTTGGGGACCAAAACTTGTGCTATTTGGATCTCTGGGGACATAAATTGACATTTATCCCGTCTTTTTAACAGAGGTGGCTCAACTTGTTTTGATTAGAAACCTAATACTAACAAATAGTCTGCAAAACTTGGAAGGGAAGAAAATTATTTTCTTCTCCTGCTTGTCAACAGTGTTTTAGACACTGGCAGCTGAGAATGCTTTATTGTAGCGTATGCACTTACGTTAAAAGGGAATATTGCTCAATGTCAGAATCCCAACCTCCCAAATTCCAAATATGGGGGAAATTATGCACAACTAGTGACCTTTTTAGCTATCCTAGAGACACGGTGCTAGTCATGACAACATTGGTTGGCCAGTCCACAACTTTGTTCCAGACTGAGGTATAATGGCAAATCTTACCAGTGGATAGATAGATATTTGTGATTTTTGTGTTTTGGTGAAATGTCTTGACAGCCATGAAATTCGTTACAGACATTCTTTCCCCCCTCAGGTTTAATTATATTATATGTTGTGTTAAACCTAACTTAATCTAGTCCTGCCAGTAGATCAAAGTTCATACATCATTTGTGAAATTGCCTGGCATCTGCTTGCTTGATTTTTAGGTGATTCCTTTGTTTTTCTTCTTCCATGTAATTGACATCCTCCTCTTAGTTTAAAATGTCGTGAAAATGATTGGATGTATTGCCATGAACTGTAATGCAAACATTCATGTTCCCTACAGAAAAGACTTTACATTTAGCAACATCATTAGGTGAAAATGTCTTTAAATTAATTACAACTAATTGCAAAGCTAATGATACTCAACACTTGGACTATTGTTTAGTAATAATTAACAAGTGTTAGCCTGCATGCTAACACATGCTAAACACATGCTAAATTAAAATTAACCTGCTAAATGTCAGCAAGTTTAGCTGTGACCATGTTAGCATGCTAACCTTAACATTTAATTCAAACCACCACTGAACCGAAGTAGAGCTTCACACAACTGCTGGATCCCTTATGGTACACTTTGGGAACTCTGGCTTTGACTTAGTAAACTTCCCGCAGCAGTAAGAGAAGTGATTACATATTTAAGCTTGTTTAATGTGCTTTGCCGTTGACTTCATTCTGCAACAGTGTCAAAAGGTAACACAAGACTTTGCTTAGTGCATAGCAGCACTCATTCATGATAGAATGAGTGCTGCTTTATTGCTGATCGTCAACTTCCGGTCATATATCTGGAAATCTGCAAACATGGACATGCTGATATTTGGCGATATTCCCCTTTAACTTTTGCACTCTCTCATTTTGCATTGCACTGAACAGATACACAGCAACTTACCTGTTTAATTATCAGAATATCTGCTCTCTCTGCTTTCCCTCATCTCTCTTCTTAACTCATCATTCTGTATGCACTGGACTTGAAATCTGAATGTACATATGATTGTGTGTCCTTGTTCTTAGATATGTTTGATTCTATGCCTGAGCAAAGCCCTACCACAGAATCCAAAGCTGCTACCACTCCTAGCGTAGACCTTTTTGGTTCAGGTACAGGAGTTGAAATCCATTTGTGTGTGTGTGGAACCTCTTCATCTCTTCTGGTTACTAAATGTCCACTCCTCTGTCAGCTGTTTTTTTTTCCCTACACGTCTTGGTTTGTCCCCCATAGTGGTATGAGAACTGTGCATGCACCCCACTCGTCAAGTACTGGATAGTCGTTGTGGCTGCATTGTTTTATCAACGCTTTATCTTTTTTACCTGCCACGCTAATGCTTTTCTTTGCTCCCCCAACCTCCACGGTTTTCCTCTTTCTCGTACTCTGCCTCTTGCTTGCGTCGGTAAATTAGACCTTCCTGCTGTTTCACGCGGGCCCTCTCCTTTGCCCGAGCCGGCTCCGGTTGGAGACATCGTGACGGGTGAGTTAAGCTGCTTTACCTTTACTGCATCACTGTTTCCCTTCCTTTTTTATGAGGAGTGCAGCCAGACAAGTTTTGCATGGTACTGGTGTCTGCATGCACATGCAGACCAGACCTGTACTTCCAAATGGTGCACGCTTCAAGGATGTGGATACACAGTTAAGATGCAGGGATGCTTGCTTCCTTTTCCTGCTTCCTCTCTGCATGTGTGCTTTAGCCCTTTAGAGCAGACAAATGAACACGACATGAGCAGAGGGTTCTCTACTTGGAAGGAATCTGTCAGTGATAAAACTTTATTGAAATGAATCTCCTTTTTCTTGTTTTTTCTGCTATACAGATTCGTTTCCATCTCCAGCTCCTGCCCCTGCTCCAGCTCCTGCTCCTGCTCCTACTCCTGCCCCAGAAGCCTCATCTCCACCTAAAGCAGAGCCGGAGCCCGTCATTGACCTGCTGGGTACTGTGACTGGCATCATATTTGCTCTTTGCTAATTTGCACCTGTTCATGCACTAAAACTAGGCCTCTTCTCTCAGTCCCCTCTACAGATTCTCAGATGACTTATTTTGTTTTCTGCTGGAACATTGCGTCCACATTTCGGCACCACTGCATCAGTTAACCTAATAAACATTACAGAAGCTGCTTCCAGAGTTACATTAGAGAGCGAATACAGTGTTATGCTCATAGATAACTGCTATAAGCGAGCCAAAATCCATCGCTAATTAGAAAGTTGTCTGTTTATTACGAAGGGGATTTACAATATGTTAATGTTGTCTTTATCATGGGGATTGTAAAGGTTCTCTAAACAAAAAGGATTTACATCCTCTCAAAATTCCCCAGAAATTCCATATTGGTGCATCTCTACTGCACAACAAGTGTGCTCTATTTATCGCTGTTGTTGTTGTTGTTGTTTGTTCATTGTTTAATTGAACTTCTCCATGTCTTTCTCCTGGGTTTTTTTGTTTTATTTATTATTATCTTCCTCAGTGTTTACAGTAAGTTCTAAGATGAATGTTTGTAGCAGTGCGGTTTGTCTAGATGCTGTGTTCGATTGTAGATGTGCAACAACAGTTTTGAACTGTTAAACAGACTGCAGATGCATCTAGATACAGAACAAACAGTAGCTTCCAGTAGTCCTTCTAAAATAACAGTTTCAGTTTTATGAAATGGTCAGTATTTAGCTAAGCTAATGAAATAAAACTTGGGGTTAACTTCCTTGCTCTTGCTAGTTGCTTGCTTTTATTTTATATCAATCTATCCTTAACTATTGAATGGACTGCCTTAATATGTGTTGGCTGATTTCATCTGACAGTTTGTTTACATTTTTATTTATTTATGATTTTACTTTGTAAAGATAATCTTGTCTCCTGCCTCCCCACCGTGTCTCAATGTGTGGTCCAGGGCTGACCTCTCACCCCTTTCTGCCCTCCATGCTGCCTTGTGGATAACTGGATAACTGCTACTGTAGACTCCTTCAGCGGCCCTGTGGAGGAAACGCAGAGTGCTGCTCCTGGAGGGCCTGGAGACGACCTGCTGGGAGGTGAGGCTGCTCTAGCTATCACTTCTTTGAGCATATTTTGGAAATTGTGGTTAAATTAGAAAGGCTGGATGAAGCAGAACCATTTAACAAGATGTCCTTAAATGTCCCGCAAATGGTTTTTGTGTTGACGAATGTCTGTTGGAAGTGTTTTTTGCTGATTAAGAAATTATGCTGTAAGTATTGACGGAGATGTATTTGTCAAATGAATCACTGCACAGACTTGGCAGGATTAGTTGAATTAATTACACTGCATTTCCAAATTGGTTTAGGACTCATTTGGAAACGTCTATCCGCCATGACCTCCTGGTGATGTCATGGCCGTGTCTCGCCTATTTCACTCTGTGTCTGTTGAATAGCTGGTGAATTACAATGGAAATTGTGTTAGCTACACTGAAAGCATAATCAGCACACCCAGATACTTACTTTGTATACATTGACTTGACTCTCTGTAGGTACATGTTACTATATAAATCAGTGTACTTTTGGATAAAGTAGCAGTACAACATTCTAACAATACTTCAATACAAGTGTAAGCCCTGCACTTAAAGTCTATCTAAGACACAGTGCAGTGGTGTTATAAGGGGGAAAAGACATTTTCAGACCAACAAGGCTTATGAATCAATGCATAATCAGTCTTTTAGTGGTAGCTGAGCTCTTTTTACTACTACTATTACTATGATGCAGTTTTTCCACCACCCAGGCCTCCTCTACAGGGTCAAAAGATAAATCTGAGAGGCCATGAGATGGTTTATGAGCGAAGAAAGGAGAAACAAAAGAATAATGTTCTGCTATTCAATTTTGTTTGCATTTTTCAGTGATTATATGCTGCTAATATACCTTTACAACTCTCAAACCATCTGAGAAATTTGAAAGGGACATGGTTCTTTAGTTGAACAACTTAAAGACATCTGAAATGCAACAAGTGGCACATTTCACTCATAACTATATGCTAACCGTGACATGCGCGTGGAGAAGGTATAAAGTATAAAACATATGTAGTATATTCAGCTTTCATCTGTTTGTTTTGTTTTCTTCATAAGCTCTATTTTTTTTAATGTGCCATGTGTTGCATCAGCATTCATATTTAATGTGTGTTTCTAATGGAATTATGGTGATTCTGATATGAGTCCGGTTTGTTCCATCTGTCAGGCCTGATGTCCCCCACCCTTGCTCCCACCACTGCCCCAGCAGCCCTGGCTCCAGCCTTGGCTCCGGTGCAGAACGATCTCCTGGAGTCAGGCTTCGATGCTCTCGGGTCACTTCCTTCCCCGACACCACCAGTACCTGCTGCAGTCGCGGCAGCACCAATAGTGCCGGCTCCGACAGCAGCAGCACCAGAACCTGCATCCACCACACCGGCACCCTCTGGTGGCTTTGATGCTTCAAGTAGGTTGATCTTGTGTTTCAAGAGAAGACTTTGCTTGATTTTAGTTGTTGAGTTAATTGTCATGCCTTGCAAAATGTGACAATTAAGTAGTATTTTGTTCATATTGGCACAGGTCTTCTGCTTGATGTGCATTAGTCTGGTCTGCTTTATTAAAACTTAGCTATCTTAAAGCTGTGGGAGGCCAAAATCTGGAAAAGGGAAACTTAAATATATATATCAGTAAAATAAATTAAACACCAGCATTTGAAAATACAGCCGACCTGCTGCAGGCGTATGCAGGTGCTTCATACACACACACAACAATCACTTAGTAGCTTTACAGGTAACAGTAACCTGTACTTGTTGGCAACATTGTGATTGTGATCCCAGTGCCATTACATGGTTGGAATACTATCAGAATTAGTGTCCTGTTTTATTTGTGAACTTATGAGCCTGTAAAGCCTTTTGAGATGAGAACAGCTTAACTGTTCAGGAGAAGAACTGCAACCTTGCTGAAATGCTTCACCGTTATTTTTGTTTTGTGTTTTTTGGTTGCTTGCCAGTGTTTGCAGTTGTTGCCAGTGGTAAAACTCTATACCAAAATGTCGCTAATTAATGGATTTATTTATTAATGGCAGTAGCAAATGTATTTTTGCAAGTTAGACAGTGTGTGGGAGGCTGTGAAATTCTTGCCGGATCTTCCACCAATGATTCAGGCTTTCCACCATCGACAGGGACATGCATCTGTATTTTTAGAGCAGCCAATCTGAAAGGACTAGTGACCGGCCAAAGTCTCCTGTCACAGGTTACATTTTATAAATCCAATAAACAGATCCAAGAGGAGGAGCAGAAATCTAGTTCCCTCCCAGACAACCTGAAAGTCAATATACTGAAAGCTTATTAGGGAATTTTTGCCCACTGATGCCAAAAACATACTGCCTACCGCAGCTTTAGCTGTGGACCTAGTTATCTTTTCCTGCTGACAGCTTGACTTCTGCATGAATGAGGCTCTGACATTCGCTGCCGTCACTGTCCTCCTGACATAAAACTGTTCTTTCTGCTGACTGCTTTTACTCCTCAGCACCGCTGCCTCTTTTGCAACGATTGTTTGTTTTCACATGACTCTCTTCTCTTTTACTTCTTGCACTTTCACAAATGCTGTGCTTTCTTCGCCTCTTGCTCACGCCACCCCTTCTCCATGAGTGAACCTTTCTTTCTGCTCTACACCTTTTCTCTTCTGTTTCCCTCATCCACACACTTTCCACTCTGCTGGGTCATTGCTTGCTTCTTCTAATCTGTAATTGGTGAGTTTAACCCCGCAGTGCATTGCAGCATGCGCAGTTTGGACAACTCTCCCCCTCTGCGTCCTTCAAAGACGTTTCTAAATTGCATGTGGCAAAATTACCTCTGTGTGTCTCCTGCATGACACAAGACTTGTTAACTATGTTTGTCTTTGCCCTTGGTCTTTTTGAACAGCGTTTCTTAAGAGTAACCACATGCCATCAAGGCCTGCAGAAACATTTTCCGTGATAAAAGTGGCTCAATAAGCAGCATTACATTGTTGAAACTGGAAAGGTTTACGCTACATGACAACACATAATACCTTTTCTTTAAGCTTTGGTTAGTTGCTGTAGGTTCTGATATAATATATACAGTTACATTTGTACATATTTATATTGTCCCTTCTTGTAGGGGTTTCTAACAAGCAGTTCATGTAGCCTTGGCAACTTTTGACTTTACCAGCAGCTACATGAAAAGATTGCAGAGTTGCTCAACTAATTTGAAAAAGTAAAAATTTGGTTTTAACAAGACAAAAAATATCCAAGCACACACAGTCAAGTGTAACACCTGAAAACTATGCTACAATCAAGAGTGTAGCCAGCTGTAAGCATGCAGAAGCTTCTAAACAATTAGCTTAAAGCACTAGTAAATGGTTAAAATAGGTTGATTTTAATTAAGAGAAACAGCTGAAAGAGATAATACTAACAGAGAAACAGCTGAAAAAGCTAAATGCATGGGATTTTTTTGGCTGAAATAGTTAGACAAAAGTATTATACAGCTGAAGTACAGGATAAAAAGTTAAAATGTCCATCTGCTGGCAGTCCCAGTGCTACTCCAACAAATACAACCTTGATCAAACTGACCTAAATATTGACAGTGTATTAGTATTTTCAACATTACAGTTACTATAATTATTAGTATGAGGTCGTAAAAACTGATAGAACACAAATTGGCACATGACAGGTGATGGTTGGAAGCCACTGCTAAAGAGCTCAACCAACTTTCAGCAACACAATGCTGTAGTTGTTAGTGTGGTAGGTATGTAAAGTAGGGAACTCCACCGATCAGCCACAGCATTAATAACAGCTGCCTAAGATCCCCCTTGTGCAGCCAAAAAACAGCTCAGACTCTTCAGGCCACGCACACAGACCTCTGGGGTTGTTTTGTAGTGCGCTGGGGCATTGGCAATGATCAGGGGAGTGTGGAGGCCAGGCCAGTGCCTCAGACATGATCCTGGAGTCATTCCTGAGCAGTTTATACACTCTTGCAGGGTGAACTGCTGCCGCCTGAGAGTACTGTTGCCATGAGGGAGTGTGCTTGGTCTGCAACAAAGTTTGCATCTACATGAATGCCAGAACCCCAGATTTCCCAGGATTAATGGCATTCACTTCACCTGTCAGTGGTTTTAATGTGGGCTGATCGGTATATTTGACCTTGATGACACCTGGTGCAAAACCTGTGCCCCAAATTCAGCTAGTTTTTTATGTCTCAAGTCGTGCAATCTGGCTGAGCAACTGACTGACTAGCTGAGTTCAGTTGCTGTAGCTACATCCCTTTGAATGCTCAACTATAATTACAGTCCAGTCCGATATGGTGCATGTGATGCACAGCTGGCAACGGATGCTGTCACAGCTGGATTATCCCCCTCACCGTACCGCCTGCTCTCACATCTACCCTCTGTGTTAACGAGATCAGGGGATTTCACAGGTTTGTAATCCGTGTTGTTTTTCTGCTGTCCCGTCATTCCCACCCTTTCCACAAGTGCTTGGCGGATTAGGCGACTTGCTAATGCCTGCCGTAACACCCCAGAGCACCGGGGGCAGCACCGCTGGAAGCACAGCAGGGAGCATGGGAACTCCCGTCGCAGCAGGAGGCATCGCAGCCGCTCCGCCCTCCACCCCGCCTGCTACCAAAACCATCGGAGGAGATCTGGACTCATCACTGGCCAACCTGGTTGGAGGTGGGCTACCTTTCTATCCTGGACATCAGTCATTTCTGTTCAAAGTAAATGTTTACACAGAAAGTTAATTCACTCTTCTTTGTTTTTCTGTTCAGACCTTGGAGTAAAGAAAAAGTAAGTGTGTGATTAAAGGTGTGAATTCTGTGACTGCATGATGCTTGTGTAAGTGTGAATATGTACAGCACAGTTTTTAAATAGACAAAAGGGTATAAAGGGGCTCGACAGTCTTGAAGCTGATGAAGGTTGCTGGGTTGTAACATCTTTCATATAAAGGTTGCAAATGAAGGTGCTGCATGTGTCACACAATATTAATAGCACAATGTTAAACCAGCAAGCAGTAACAAAACACTGAACACTTTCCTCACTGTTCAGTGTTTTGTTTCCCCAACCCAACCGGAAAATTTTTTTCTTTCTAGAATCGCAACATTACTTAAATACAGTGTAATGAATGTAGGGTTTCTGTGTTTGACAATGTAAATAAAAGTGCTGGAGTCTGTACCATGCAGCACTATCAGTGAGTTTTTTAGCATAAGGTTAGATCACTACCTGCCATCAGCCTGTCTCCTGACCAATCAGATCACTGGAAAAAATGATATATTATCTGCAGGATACCGACAGGGACAAAAGGCACTGCAATAAATTGACAAATAATAAATGGCAATAGACTTATGAGTAAGTTACTTAGTTTTAAAACAGAGCAAAGTTCTAGTTTATATCATCAAATACATAATTATGATCAAAGCTGCACTTTCATTGACCAAATGTGATCTTATTCCTGAGAGGATTTCTGACAGCGTTAATGTGTTTATCAGCAGCTCAGATTAACGTGACATTAATTCATCATCATCAGACAAAAAGTTTAAAAAAATACTAGACTATAGTAACGACATATCTAACAAAAGCTGAACTTTTTAAACTACTTTTTATTCGGAAATAAGCTAGTGTTCCTAAGTAGTTGCTGCCTCTTATTTATTTTATACATTTTAGCCCACTGAATAGCACTTTAACCAAATGTTCATTTTCATCTAGTGTCTGAATAAATACAATCTGATGATGGAAGCACTTATTACTGATGTTAGGATCAGTGAAGCCAGTTAATCCAAAGACAGCCAGACGAAACTGAACTTATTTAAAACAGAGTTTCAGGTGCATCCTGTGTTTGATCTCCTTTAGGGATCCACAGAGTGAGAAGAAGCTGACAGGAGGCGCCAACTGGATGCCACATGTAGCCCCCACAAGCTGGGCCACACCAGGAGCCCCCATGGTAAGAACACCATTAACTGCCCTGCTGTGCGATCACCCTTAACCAGTGTTTCTGAAAGCTGAGTTTAGAAATGTGCTTTCCACTGTAAACTCATAGGATGATGGTGCCAACGTTGTCTTTATGCAGCCACGATGCACACACTTGCCACTCACGCAAGCTGTGGGATTTGTGACAAAGGTTTTAAGAACGTACAAGTTGTGTGACCTGTGTCTGCGCCTTTAGGCCGGTGCTGCCCCCGGAGCTCCTGGGGCACCTGGACCAGCTCCACCCGCCATGATGCCACCAATGAGTGCTCAGCCGGGCTTTGGCATGGTGAGCTTCATTTCATCCACAATTAACTCCTTACTGAGAAACTGAGACCTTTAAAACTATTAGAAGGGGGGAACAGCTGCTTTGACTTGATAGTGAGCCAGCTGAGTCCTTAATAAATATCGGCCATCAGTGACACATTACTGCCCAGATGACTACCTTGGCTTGCTTTAATATCTAAACTGTTTGGTGAATTATTCTCTCTTGTGCTTACACTAGCTGACTTGGGAGCTATTTTTAGCCTTGTGATGTTCTGCCGTTTGATCATGTTGAAGGCAGATGAGGATTAGTCCCAGTCTAATGTACTGTCCTGATCTCACAGCCTCCTGCAGCAGGGCCTGGAGCCCCTATGATGCAGCCCATGATGGGGCAGCCTATGATGGGACAGCCCATGATGAGACCTCCCTTCACTGGGGTGGCTGGAGCTGCACCCGGAGCCGCTGCACCCGGAGCGCCGGTAACATCACACATTCACACTAATGCAAAGCTGCTTTCACGTATCAAGTAAATAGATAAGTAAATTATTGCTTACATGACTAAAAATACTCTATGCACATTAGTCCAGTCTTAGTCTGACTCATCAGATGTAGATTGTGGGTATAACTCTGCTATTGGCTGCTCATTTTAGGCATCTTTGTTCATCCCTTCTTCTATCTGTACGTTAGCGTTTTCAAAATCTACTTAGCTATGGGACACCAACAACTTCAGGGCTAGCAACCTGCTGTGCTAAAAATATCAAGTTTTGCCAAGGATTTGGATCATGCAGTATCATCGAAAATTATCCATTCCAGTGACAGTTTTTGCCCCTGTGCATGCAAATGTTCCACCAAAACAATTCTGTCAGTATTCTGAGGGAACACTGAAGCTTCGTCCTTTACCTAGCTCTGTCCACGATGACTGTGAGCTAGAGCATTTTTTTCTTTTCCACCGTTACAGAATTCAATTTAAGATTCTCCCAAATGCTTTTAAATCTCTGCGTTGTCTGGCTCTGAAATACATCTCACACCCTCTAAACCCCTTATTCTGCACCTCAAGACCCCTCAGGTCAGAGAATCAAATGGTTTTAGAAGTTCCACAGTCCAGATTTAAAGCAAAGGAAAAGCTTTTACTTACTGTGAGCACAGCTCAGTCAGTGCCTCAATTCAAAGAACATACATTTAGATAATATTCGTGCTTGTGTACTATTTTGTCACCACTATTTTAATGTTTTATTGTATTATGTTCATGTTTTATTGTTGCTTTTTAATGTTTTGTACGTTTTACCATTTTGTAAAGCTCCTTGTAACTCTATCTTTGAAAAAAGTTACAGAAACAAAATTTAATTATTGAAATTATAAAAATGGATACATGCTGAATTTGTCAAAGGGAATCATTACTGCCAAAAAATCTTATGTAGTGAGTTCATGAAGAGCATATGTCTTCTGTCTCCTCAGCTTTCTCCAGGACCTGCAAGCCAGAGCCCCAAGAAGCCTAAGGACCCTCTGGCCGATCTCGACCTCAAGGACTTCTTATAACGTCCCAGGTGGGAACTCAGAGCACATTCAGCATGGACCAACTGTGGTGTTAGTTTGGTGCTGCTTCGTGTTGTGATGTTGTATGTCTGGGATAGAACAGTCCAGACTGTTTTGCTACTGAGTTTGAATTCAGAAATCAGAGTTCAGAAAAAGCTAATAGGTCATTAACAAGTAATATAACAAATCAGTTTGTTTGTTTAATGTAATTTCCGTTTTTTTCTTGGTCAACACTATCATGTCAGCGCCTGCAGATGGAGCAGTTGTGAATTTTTTACTGTCTGAGTGTGAGCTTCCCACTTCTGGATCTCTTTTAAGATAATATCTGTGTTGGGTTCAGCTCATCCAGCTGCCTTCCTTTATAATTACACAAAAGTGAAATTACAAAATGAGCCTTATTGCACACATCTCTTTGCAGTGGACTATTAGAAATGAATGGTGGCAGAATTCTAACAATTTTAATTGATCTTCAGCTACTTGTGTGCTATTTAAGGGCCATTTAGCACATGTGTGGAGTACTTGAACCCCTTATTTATCCAAATCACCACTCTGCACTCGACCTGTATTATAAACGCAGCATCAGTATTTAAAAAAAGGGGAAAAAAATTAAAATCACAGGCTGTCAGCTTTTATCAAAGACCTCACACTTTATTTGAATCAAGAACAATGTGACCGTAACGTTGAAATGTCTCTCTCTTCCAGCTGCTTTCCTCTCTGGATCAGAGCTCTCTCACCTTTTACCTGGTGTCTGTCAACATCTCAGGATGCCAGCAGCGTTCAGCTACTAAAACCTTATAAGAGCCTATTTTCTTCCCCTCGCCCATCCACGCCCCGCCCTTCTCCTGTGTGATGTCGTAGCACAAACTGTGAAAGTGAACCATAGCGGATTAAATATAAATATATGAGAAAAAAAAAAATACAAGCGTGTGCTTATGTCAATGTACTAATCTTTTGTCTAAACAAAATCACACAAAATCCTGACAAAAAAAAAAAAAACAGTCCAGAAAAGTAAGTGAGAGAAAGTGAAGGCGTATGTGTTTAGATTTATTTCTAGTGCCGAGTTGAATGATGGATGTGCTTTGGTGTCCTGAGCTCCACCCACTTCCCCCCACCCACCCTGTCTTTGTCTCCGCCTCTTTATGAAGGGGGCGGAGCTCTTCTGTGTCCCACTCTGATTGAATGAGAGTGGTCAAACAAAGCCCTGGTAGATTTTCGGAGAAACATGTTGCGTGTTGTTTACAGAAAGATCCTCTTCGATGTACATAGATTTCTCTGGCGAGGATTACGTCTCTATTCTGTATGTCTGTTGAAGAGAAATATAAATGTGAATCTGACATGAAATTGTAAGAAGTCGTGTGAGTATCCTTCTATTTCCCGTCATCATTTGAAAATATTTGGAAACAAATATGACTACCACTACATGATTAATATACTGTATATTTAAAAACAACTTCTATGGGCTTCTGAGTCATACCAGACCAGCAAGTGATCCTTCTTGTGTTTCTCGTGTTTTTTTTACTCGTGGCTTATTTTTCTATGTTTTTTTTGTCTTTTTGTTCCATGTTACTTTGTTGTCTGTTATAGAATAATCCTCCAGACTGCTGTTGATATTTGCTGGCATTGCTATTAAAGAACATATCTTACAACTTACTTCCAGAGAAACCACTTTAGTTATTCATTGTAGAGATGAATTCAGTCTTTCCTTCAGTATACCTGTTCAGCTTTCATTATTACCGTTGACCAGGTCAGGGTGGTTATTTTGTGTTCAATAAGCTTGCCATACCAAGCTCTATGTTCAGACACGTCAAACTAAGTGATTTTACAGCCGATTTAGACTAAGATTAAATCGCTTTAGAGCAACATGCTTTGAAAACTTGCGGATTAGCAGCACGGTGAACCTGCAAGAAAGAGTTTTTTCATTTTTCACTGTGAACTGAAAATCCCATCTTAAAAGTCAGAATTAGGAATAGATTAAAGGTACACTGTCAAGTTTCCTCCCCCCCAAAAGAATCTGTTTACATTCAGTATTTATCACCAAAGAGAGCTTTATGTGTAGTTTGACACCTAACAGATGTGATAAATTCATTTTCTTCATCATCAGATAATTTATTTTTTAACTTTGAAATCTACATTGTTTACAAACAACATGGGGGGACCCGCTCATCAAAACATAGCTTGTTAGCACTACTAGCAGTCAAAAACTCCACAGAGTACCTTTAACTTCCTTGTTATTAGCCTGTTGCTCCCAGTGCTAATGGACAAAACAAGTTACAGTGTGTGTGGCTGCACAGCTGCTACAGAAACTCCCATCTGTAAATGCCAAGATAGATGGTGAGATTTACCAGATATTCACATGTGGTTGCTGTCTGAACAAGGTGTTTGACTCGTCATTTGACCTACTGACCTTTGGCCAATCGTTAGTGGAAGATCTGTATTACTGTATGTGGGAGCAATGTGCAGAGAAGCCCACAGGAGGTCACTGTTGAACTGTCCAGCCATGAACTTGTTCCCCCCAAAAAACGCATCTTTACACCAAACACTTGTGTTCCTGCTGACTACCAATGGAATCAGTGTGTTGTCAGTGCTGACAGTAGCTGCCTCTCCTGTGCTGTAAACTACAGACGGACCGTTACGAAGCTTACTCTGTGTGTTGTCATTTCGGTGGATCAGTTGTGAGAATCAAATGTGATTCAGAGAAAATAATGGAAGATTATTAACATTTTTCATGACGGAATTATGAAAATTGTATTTTTGTTTAGTTGTAAATTTATTTTATTTACGATGGCCCTCCCCAGTGCATGTAAGCCCTTTGAGATGCAATAAATTCAATGACGGATTGAACTGCCCATTTTTTTTATTCAATATGGTAGATATGCTTGATTTCATATCGGTTCCACCACATGAAAATATAGTAAAGTATGGTGTGTATTACCAACTCAAAAAGCAAAGATTGGGCTCCAAAGGTCCGAAAATTATGTGTGTGTGTTCACAACTGTCATTCAGAGGATATTGCAATTTCTTTACTAATGCCTTATCCTGTGGCCCTGTCTTTCAAAGAAACTCTGTGATGAAACCTATTTGTAACCCTTTATCAGCCTTGGGCCATGCATTATAACTTAATCCCAGAAGCAACGTCGTGGTTTCTGGGTGTAGAATGAAGCTGTCATGTGTTGGCTGCACTTAAGCTGCCTTATTTTATTTTATTTGACCACATGCAGATAAGGCAACAGGATAATATAGCTAAAGATTTGATATTCATTTATCCAGCATTAAAAGGAGACAATATTGTATGATTGCTGTAGCAACATATTCCAAAAACACTGTCAAGTTGTTTTTGGGTTTTTTTTAAATCTGTTGAGCAAATAGTTTAAACATGCTTGGACAGGCAAGGTCCTCTTTGGTGTATTTGGTGGAATAGTTTTTCAATCACTTATTTAACAAAACTATCAATAGCTGTAACATTCTCCCACGAAAAGAGTAACTAAACCCTTGGCATCAGCAGATAGTATTTTTCTCTTTTGTAGATACACTTGAGCAGAGTTACCTGCACAAAACGTTTCTTGAAATTTCTTTTTGCAGCAGTTTGCTCTTCGCTGGGACAGTCTTAGTTTTGTGACTGTGCAGTTGTGATAAATGTATATTCCATGTGACTTATCTGTTTTTTGAGTATGTTATTAACTTATTCAAAACTTTTTCAAAAGAGTATTTTCCTGTTTAAATGTGTTGACAAAATCAGCAGTTGACCTCCTAAGCTAAAGCTATTTACGGTAGTACAATAGCTATTGTTGTTAATGGTCTACTGCCCATTATTAAGGACAAACCAGGATCATCACAAACACAAACACACAAACACACAAGTAGTAATCTTTTTTTAATGGTTGGTAGTCTTCAATCTGCATCATGAATTTCAGGTATTTGGTATTCAAAAGGATACTTGTGAATTTTTTTTGGAGTATAAGCAAAATGAACAGTCAAACAATATTACATTCCAAATTTAATTTGACATTTTTAACAATATCATGGCATTTTGTGATCCTTTTTTTTTTTTTTTTTTTTTTTTTTTTAGAATTGGAGAAATATAAACAGCTCAAGTATGAATGGTTCAGTCCCATCTTAACGCAACCCAAATACGTAGCCTCACATTAAATACATAGGTACAGTACTAGGCTATCAAAACTGAGAAGTCCCCTTCCCCACCCCACCCAAAAAAGTTTACAGTTCCATAAATTAGCATCACTTCTGGAAGAGCACCAATATAATTATGTGCACGACAATGAAACCACATTTCACTGCATTGCAAGAACAGAGAAAGATGGTAAGACTCACAAATCAAAGAGAAAATTCTTCTGTCCAGGATCCATAAGGAGCCTTTTCTCTATTTAGACAGAAAAATAGTCTTATTAAAAAGATAGTTGTAAAAAAACAAACAAACAATAGAAAGTTCTAGATATACACAATGCAAAACACCAGCTTTTTCAATTAAAACATTTATTTAAAAAAAAAAAAAAAGTTGATTTAATATTTCTATATAGTTCATTTGCAAAACAAAAGTTATATAATTTTTTCCTGGGTCTTTTGTCAAAGGCAATTGTGTTTTTTTTACAGTGGTGGAGAACACGTGAAAATGCAAGTTTCTCCATATAAAACCTCGTCAGAGTATGAATGTACCAGGGCTTATCATACACACACACTTTCCAACATTGTATTCAAAGAGGTCAAATCTTTGTTTAAAAAGAGTCAAAATAGAAACTACAGATCTAAATGATCTGAAAAATACATACAATACTTTTTTTTTTTTTCTCAGTTGTTTTTTTTAAGCAAATAAATTAGAAAAAGCTGAAGAGCCACAGTTCTCCTAAGGCGTTGACGAGTTCCTTTTGTTGTCAATGCTGAGTCTGCATGGCTGAGTGTGGACTGTGTGTATGTCTGTGTTGATCAGGAGTCTCTGGGAGGCACAGGAGGGAACAAAAAGGTAGGAAGAGGAGGAAGAGGCAGGCGCCGGGCCCCTGGTTGGCAACAAAAGGTGAGAGCAGGTGGGAGTCTGTCGTGTGAAGGGGGTCTCAGGGTCAGGGGTGGTGGCTAAGGGGGGTCATGAGTTGTCTCAGGCTACCTGGCACTCACTTGAGTCCCCGTGGACCCAGTAGCAGATCTGAGCATACTTGAGGGGTGTTATCCTCACCGCCACGTTGTAATCCTGCTGCATCCCATCCCCATTAACGTCCACCCACTGGTGACCAGAGAAGACCCCGATGATCTTCCTCTTCCACTTCCTCTTGCCGGGCTCTTTGAGGCGGATGTAGACCCCAGAGCCGCTGGAGCCGGGTTTGGCATCGCAATATTGATACAACAAATCGTTGGATTCCTCAGACACGGAGCAGAACCGGTACACCAAGTTACCAGGTCGGTCATCATCGAAGCCAGAGAAGTGGATCCTCCCTGCAGGGAGCTTCTTGACTGAGGGGATGACACCCAGATCCATGTGCTTGACTTTTGGGGCTTTCTTCAGCTCCAAAACAGCGTAGTCATAATCCACAGCCATTCCATCAGACACACCTTTGAACCAACCCTTAGGAACCTGGGTCTGTTTCACTCTGGTCCACCTAAATGAAGGTTTCTCAGGTTCCGCACTTCGCCGACTCCGGCTCTTCCTACTTTTCCCTTTTCCTTTACGGTCCCCTTTCCCAGCATTCTCCTCCTTCTCCTGTGCTTCCTCTTTACCTTTGTCTCCTTTTCTTCTTTTGCCCTTTCCCCGCCCTCCTCTCCCTTTTCCTCCTTTCCCCCGCCTGGACTTCTCCTTCAGAATGCCAACGCGCAGCTTCTGCACTCCATCCAGATAATCCTTCCCATCGTGGATGCAGTGGGCAGCTGTCAGCACGTGTTTAGGTGACACCAGAACCCCAGAGCATCCCGTGGAGATCTTCACAGAGGTGGAGAAGGGATATTTGGTAGAGAACTGCTTATCAGCGATGGTGAAGCGTGTATCTGTGCCGTACACCTCTCGCTTGTGGCGGGAGCTAGATGAGGCGTTTCTGGACCAGGTAGTCACCTCGTTGAGGCCCTGCACAGAAACTGAGGTATACGTGCGTGTTCCATTCTCGTAGACTGTCTCGTAGGACAGGAACTGCTCCAGGTCATCCAGGGAAGGTAACGGGAGGCGACGCTGACACTCGATGCCACAGGTCCCGCTCAGCTCCAGTTGAGGGTGAGCTGAGAAGTTGGGGCTGCTGAGTGGCACAGTGCGTCTTTTCCTCACCAGAGGCACCTTCCACTGTGGCCAAGTGTACTCGTCATTGAGCGTGTTCTCCTCAGCAGCTACAACAACCACCACAGCCAGCACCGTCACCGGGAGCAGGACACACAGGGGTAGGGCACCCATTGTTAAGTTGGGCCTGGCTCTGAAATGTAACAGAGAAGGAAATCATTAATTATTGTGCCAGTTTGAAACTTTCAGAGTCACAGATTTTGAAGGCTCTGGGGCAGTAATGTTAGCTCCACCGTTATCGTCCAAACTAAAATATCTCAACATTAGTCGATCAATTACCCTGAAGTTCTCATTTGTGGTTGCCAGAGGATGTACCATAGGGGTGTTCGTCACTGTTCTTCAAGTTAGCACTACCATGAAGGGAACAGAGGTTGTCCACTGTCGGATTAGTTGCCCTAAAGTTTGACATCCATGATCCCCTGAGGGTGACTCATAATGACTCTTGTGATCGATTCCACTTTCATCTAAGCACTACAAGCAGGTCAAAGCTTGGTTCCCTGATGATGAATCACAAGTGACTCTGTAGCTGTGATCATGAGGTTGAGATTTGTGGTTTTTGAAATGTTTGATTGATTTGATGTATTTTAATCTTTAGTTACCGGCAGGTTTTCCTTTCATGTGGGACTAAAAAGGTTCATTGTTGAGGCCTCTTGATCAATAACCAATACACACAGCTCAGTTTCCAGCCACAGGGAGGCAATGTAGTCCAGATGATCAGAATCATTCAACAGACGTGGACTTCCAGACCATCACAGGGACAGCTCAGCAGTGTGTGACGGCACAACATACTAAAGTATGCAAAAGCTTGCTGAAATGGTTGGGTCCTTAATTTATATTTCAGGGAATGGCATTCGGTTCAAAATACTCTAAAGCTCTTGAAACATAAAAGCTGATACATTAGCTGTGCGGTTCAGAGGAGATTTATGTCCTCCGAGTCTCACTGGAGGCTGCGGCCGGCGAGTAGGAGAAGATGAACCCTGATCCTTTGAATGAGCTGAGACATTGGCTTGGAGGTTTGCCACAATGGTTAACCTTCTCCTCCAGTAATGACCATATCTGGTTTCTTTGCTCCACTAGACTCCATGCATGCACACGAATGACATCAGACAGAGCGACTGTGCAGGCTGCAGATTCTCTGCTGGTTTATGCTTCTACTGTATGAGTGTGAAGCTGCCAATAATCCTGATAACCCAATAAAGAAAATTACAGCAGAGCAGGAGAGCTTTATTTCATCAGCGTGACTGTGGTAATGAAGTCACACAGGCCGTTTTAAACACAAGGAGAGAAATTTATTTGGATGAAATTGGACTGTAAATCCAACACTTTATTTCAAACAGGAGTCAAGAGTGAGATGCCACAGTGGTTACCTTCATTCTGTTGATGGATTTAAATACAACGTGACATATGGACTGATATCTGCAGCTGGCTGACAAACCTTTAGGGTTTGGATTGGCCAGAGGGGTCCACAGACACACATTCCCTTTGAGTTAAAAAGTAGAGTGTGAAAATGAGACTCTGCCTGGTTTGGCAAAGCTCCCAGGAGACTCAGCAGAGAGCGAGAAATGACTTCATGGCTTCACCTGTGGATCCTATCAGTTCTTCATCGTCCGTTGCAGAGATTCTACCAAGTTTGTCACTTTCATGCAACTGGGTCTGACTGCAAAGGGGACTTTTTGGCTTAACCCTACCACACAGAGTCCAATTAAACATACCCAGAGGCCAACATCTAACCAGCATGCAGCAGACGGTAATAAAATACAAGCCCGCAAGGGCTGTAAAACAGCTTCAATAAATGAGGATACAAAAATGACCCTTAGTTTCTCCTCAGTTTCGCACTCCCACCGCCAGACTCAGACATAACACAAATCCAGGAGAAAGCCTGCAATTATTCAGCATAGAGTGGAAACTGATATGCTGCCATGATGGCTCCTCGGTCTTAGAGCTCATTTCAGCTAAACTATTTTCCACTGCAGTCAGCTAAACAGGAAGCGGTGCCCTCTTCGTCCCTCAGCGGAGGGAGTCACAAGAGAGTGCTGGAGGCACCCAGGAAGCAAAGCCACCAAGGGATGGCGCTATGGTCCACATCTCTGTGAGCTCTGGTCCACTTCAACAGCACTTTTATGAAGAGGTGATTTCATTTATTCTGATTCATTTGCACAACTTCAGATAAACTCTCAGGCTCAGAGTTTCCAGAGATGTGACCAAAAAAAGCCAGATTTCAATCATATCAAAGCATCTTAGTAAAAGTATGAGCTGCATGTTTGAACAAATATTCAAAGAAATAGCTAATTCAATCTGATGGAAGTGTGAAAACATCTGTAAGTCCACATCTGCATCATCTGGATGTGGAAAGAAGATGGCCTACCATTTCTAAAGCAATCTATAGAAAAACGTTTCAAATATGTAATTATGGGAGCCTTAATTAGGTAACATCACTCAATAATGACAATATTGATTTAAAAGAACATAAAATGGAATTAAATCCACCTTTAAAAAATCGGCAAAAAGAAGCAAAACTGGAGGAAAATCTATTTTGAAAGTGATAATGGTAAAAATAATTTTTTTAAAAAAGGAAAAATAATTTTTTAAAAGCAGAGAAAAGGGATAAAAGAAGACATTCCTTTCATGTTTCCATCGAGAGATGGTAATAAATGTGCAGAATGAATAAATGCTTCCTACCTGCTCGCATCCGATTGATGGATCTGCCAAATCCGCAACGTATTGTTTGTTGTCTCCCCGGATATTTACAAATATGATCCCGCTGGAAAACAAACGGGTGTTTAGTGCATCCCCAGAAAGTCCCGGTATCAGCGGGGCGACGGCTGCCTGCTCCTCATCGCTCCTTCAAAGAGCCTGAAAGAAAGTCGCAGCCGGGACGCTGCGCTCAGCTGCACTTGATGCTGAGGAGGAGGGAGGAGGAGGAGGAGGAGGAGGGCTGAGGGGGGAGGACAAATCTGAAAAGGACCGTTTTTTTTTTTTTTTCTTTCACTCTTGACAAAAGCTGTTCACATATGGGTGGGACCAGACTGAGAGATCTGACCAGAAAGGCTGAATTGGAGTGAAGTCAGAGGTCTATTGAGCAGCAGAAGCAGGCGGGAGGTGCGTTAGAATAAAACCAGGCGGGAGGAGGCAGAGAATGAAACGCACCTCAGTCGGCGGGACGTTCAGCGGACTGTGAAGGAATTAGTTCCATCATCTCTACAATGGTTTCTGAGGCGTTTCCACTGGGAGCCATGTGAGCCTCAGCATCTGCAGCGTCTTTATTCTACCAGTCCAATGAGGTGGAAACATGCTGGAAGTGATGCTTTTCCAGAAACAGGAATTAAGTTTATCCAAAATTACATTAACAAGCAATATTGATGCAACTACTTTGGGTTAGAGCCACATAAATCATTTGATTCCTCTCAAGTGAACAGTTTGTATTGCTGCAACTTAAGTTTTAGGAAAGTTATCCTGAAGTTTCCAGTTTTTCCACACTGAAGTCTTTCCTTTTAAGTCTTTTCTTTTCTCAGGTGTTAGAATTTAAAAGGAGTTGCAGCAAAATTTGAATGTCAGATGCAAACTGCTGCAGGAGTAAATCTAATTGTTGCACTTTCACCAGAATTAAAACATCTTAAATGAACAAAACATCCACAAAAGTAGACGTCCATCAACAATCAGAAAGCCACATGAAATTCATCCAAAAAAGGACTTTACTACTCTTGTTTTAATATTACACGTGGTGATAGTTTTCATTTCTCTTTGTCTATTCCAACCCAAGTTTTTCAATGCACCATCTATTTGACACATGTTGCATATAATTTTGAGCTCTGAACACTTGCATTAGATTTTTTTTTTTCTTCCAGTTTTCCATCCATGAAACATCTGATGATGCAGGTTTATCTTCTTCAGGACAAAGGTCACCTCTTAAATCTCATTGATCAGTCCTGTGTCCTCCCCAGAGCTGATGGGTCAAGTTCATGTCCAAGTTTTAGTGAATGCAACTACAATGTCCAAGTTTGGAAGATTTTTTCCATTTTACAGCAAGATATTTGCAGCACTGATATGATTGCATGTATGGGCACGTTAGATGATGCAACCATTCTAGTCATTAAAGTAACTACCAAACTGACAACGAATAGCTGTTTGACAATGACAACACAAAGTTACAACGTTTTTACAAAGTTTTTATGTTTTGTTTTTGCACTGAAAAGCCTGCACCTTCCTTTTTGTTGTACTTGTTGCAATGAAAATGAAACGAATCTGAATCTGAAACATGTTTTATTGTCTATGAGCTGTTGTAGTTAAACTATCATCACACATGGACAGAATTTTCATAGTGAAAGTATAATTAAAGTGGATGTTTTGCCTAAAGGTGAATGTTTCCCCCCTGAAAATACTCTGCAGCATCTTATCCCTGAACACTGCCCACCCAATAATAACTGTAATATTAACAGTAAAATAAGAAACCAAGGTATACCAGCATGTCATTTCTGAACATTTCTTACACTGGCGTAGTTTTCATTGACACTCTACAGCATGATAAAATTCAGAAACTCAGGTAAGCCCTTTGATTTTTGGTTGCCACCCCAAGATTTTCATTGGCCCCATCTTGCCATGAAAACGTTCTGGAGGCGTCCATTTAAAGGGGTCTCAACTCCCAGGAAGGGCTTATGTGTGAATAACACTCAAAGAATCTTGACCGTAAAGGCTCATGCACACCTACAGCTTCTTCAGGTGTGTCGGAGGAAATGTCGATAGATAAGAGAAGTGAGAACTCCCACACATTAATGAACTTCTGGTCCTTTGACCTTCATCAGGTAAAACAGGAGTCATTCTCACAATCATTTGCGAAATTGTGCATATACTTTCCAGATACAGTGTTTCATGATTCATTAAAAGCAAAATACACACATGTGTGCAGGAAATTATAAAATGTGATAATTTATCAACTTATTTCAGTGCTTTTTTTTTTCCTCTCAGCCAATTCCACAGCTAATAGTTTTGGCTCTGTTGCGGCGCATCAGTAGATTTGGATGCTGACTAACTCAGTCGTCTGGTTGATGGAAAGTGTCTCCAAGCACTTGGCAGGTTGAGCTGCTGTGTGACAGCCCACTCAAATAATGTTTTTGTGTTTGCATGATGCGAGGTGAAAACCAACGAGTAGAAACGGAGGAGGCCTCTGGCTGACAGGGGAAGAATGTTACGGCCACTGGCTGAAGTCTCAATGAGCCAAGAAAAGACACGGAAAATATGTGTGTAATGAGGGAGAGAAAACGAGAGGAGGGGAGAGAGGGGAGGGAGGGTGATGATACACATCTGGCTCAGGAGGGAATGAAGAGGGCAGGATGTCATTTGGACTAGAACCTGATTTTTGAGCAATCACCTTCCATTCAGTTCAGATTTATCTGTATAGCGCCAATTCACGACACACGTCATCTCATAGCACATCACAAATTTTACAAATCTTAATTGGAGGAACCCCGACAAATCAAGTTTCCTTTGGCTGTCCTTTGAGCAAGCACTCGGTGGCAGAGGGAAGGAACAAAAAAAAAAAAAGAAAAAAACCTTCCCCGTCCTGCAGGTTTAGCAGACTGGCTATAAAATTCCACCTGTTCCTCAAAGTGTATGTGTGTAGGAGAGACATGGAAGCCCTGGGTGGGCTGCACGCATGACCACCGCGATAATGATCATGATGGATGCTCATCCATGTGGGTGGTGATCACACCCATGTCCGTCTGTCTGTGTACATTTCACACACAAGCCTAATATTTTCTAAGCAGGATGCAGCATTAGAGGTGTATTCTCTCCCCCTCCTCCTCCTCCTCCTCCTCCTCTCTGGGTGGGGTCCTCGCTCCTCTACTGAAACAATGAAACAACATTTTAGGGGGATGACCCAGCGACCAACACAAAACATACAACAGGGATTGTAAATGCACAGGAATCACCGGTGCGCTGCATTTGCACAGTCATGCTCTGCATATGAAGTTATAGAAAGGGCCACACAGACTGTGGAAAAACATTGTGTGTGACATCACCCGCCGCTTTCTGAAGGGACTCTTTGAAGCTCAAGTCGGGGTTACCGCTCACCGCAGCATTTCTCAAATTACTGAAGCCACGGGATCAAAATTATTTCAGCGATGAGCGAGGAGGGAGCAGAGGTGGGATGATTACACTGTGATAACCACAGCAAAGCATGATAGCCTGAAAACATTTTTCTATCAGGTAAACAAGAGACACTGCGGTAACGTGGAGCAAAAACAAATTTGCTCCACAAACTAAATTTGGATTTTTAGAGAAATCCTGCTGATTTTCGACATGTCAGTAGCCATGAGAGGAATCTTGATTGTTGGCACATTTGATCTGCCTGCCTTCTCACAGAATTTGTGACGTGATGCTGAACAGAAGCACGGAAGTAGCAGTGATAGCTCCAATAAAGTTGATTCCTCAACAATGACCAAAAGACAAATCAAGCTCTGTTGTGTACTAAAAATGGAAAATAAGAGCTGCAAATGACTGGAAAATGCAAGTAATAAAGCAAAGATGACTTAGATTTCACAGTTTAAGACACAACATGTGAGATCAGAAAAAAACAAAACAATATATTGTCGTTTGTCTGTTTTTTACAGCAGTCATTTTAGGATTTGAACCATAAATCGGCTCAAAGTGTGACACAGCTGAACAAACTGTCTAAACAACTGTCCGAGGTTGATCAATAAGCAGGTGATTTGATGCATCAAACTCCTGGACGTCAACAGAAATGCAGCTTCATTCTTAAATTAGTCGGTGGTTATTTCCAGGTTAAAACTAGTCTGAATCCTCTCAGAATCTTTATGCGTCAGGTTCAGTGGCCTGCCTGTGGTTGAATCTGCAGCTGATAGGTGTGCAGCTTCAGCAAACATATGTATAGCGTTACAGCAGCTTTGCAGCTCACTGCTGAGTAAAATAACATGTAACTATAAGAAGTAAAGGCGGGACTACAATAGCAAACTGTGCACGGTGCACATAAGATCAAATATTTGTTCAGCTGAAATATTTCTTACAACCATCCTGACTTATGTGAGGCAGTTGTTGGTACAGGTGCAAATGATATATTGTATTGAGCAAAAAAACAGGTTTTCATGCAAGAACAATTCTTGTGGTAAAATCCTTTTTTGTTCCTGTGAGGCTCCAAGTCACCAAACTCATCATTAATCCCTTGTTTCAGACTGATGGATTCACCCTGTTCATGAGGAGGTGAGCAATCAAGATTTGATCTTTAGCAAAATCAACACCCTGAAAACTGCCAAATAAGGCTGCGTGTTCGGCCTTATTTGAAAGTTTCAATCTCAAAAGTGCAAAAAGAATTTCACACTGCAGAACTGGAGTCAAGACTGAGGGCAGAAGTAAGCAAAGACGACAACTGAAGCAGCAGCAATATGCAGTTTAGAAAGGACAAAAATAATAGAAAAATGTAGGTAGTACATCTATCAATGAATCTGTGGCAGAAATGAAGAGGAAAATAGAGTGGCAGACAGGGGCATATACATGAATGCGTTGCATAAACAGAAACGCGCTGCAAAAGGAAAATGCTGCAAATCCAGTCACACAGCAGAAGTGCCACAGGCCTCTAGGGGCAGTAGTGAGCTTTTCACCTGAGAGGCAGACAACAGTGAGCGAGACAAGTAACTTTAGTTGAGGGAAAAGCTGTATGAAAAGGTATGTATTCTCTTGTCTCCATGAATAAACATAAATAACAGAGAGAACACAGGGGGATGGTAGTAAACCCATAGACTGTATAAAAGATGGACGTAGCAACCGGCCCTGAAAAATACAGCCAACCCGGAAGTGTCAAAAACCTGCAATATCACT